AGGTGGCCACTGAGAAAATGCTTACAAGAAGGTACTTCTCTGACTACCACTGTGTGGTCTTCTTAGAGGCTGACAATATATTCCTCATATAGAATAGGGAAAAGAAAAATGTTCTTGCCCTGAGGATCTCCTAAATCTCTTTTTAAAACTGCTGGGACTGACAGAGAAGCCATTAAAAATAAAAGAGATTTTTTTGGCAAATTTGTCTGCCATTTTTCACATATCATATTCAATCTAATGATGATGCTAAGTTTTGCGGCTTTGAATATTGTAGCCAAAGGTCCAGGGTAAAGGTCAAAAGTATAATTGCTTAAAAATAAAATTACTGTTTCTCTATTACCAAAGATTCATCATCTTTAGTGATACTTCACTGCTTTACAAGTACAGTATTAGCTAAATAGTTATCTTCTATGCATCTTGCTACCAAAGAGCTACTTAACTGGCCTAATATACTGGAAAATACTTAACAACTCCCTAGCAGATGTGCTGAGGTCTGTTAACTGATATTAACTGATAATTTCAACTATCTGGACTTCAGATTTAATTTACGGACAGATTCTGCCCATTTCTAACTGGAACTGTGATAAGATGATGGTTAAAGACATGGGGAAAAAAGGAAAAATGAATGAACAAATGACTAAGCATCAGAAAATCTGAGTAACAGAGATATGAGATACTAGAAAGCTACCTGGATGGGGAAGAAAAGGATTAGGGAAAACAAGAGTATCTGCAAGGATTTTGAGACAAGGGAGGCAGATAACTTTCAGAGACACTGTCATAATCTTCTGCTAAAACTTCACATTTTAAGGGAAGTCTCCCCTCTAAAAGTGAATAAAGCACAAAGTTTGACATTAGAGGCCCTGAATAAGTTCTTCTTTCAGAAAACTGTATTTCTTTTTTTTTGTTTTACAGCTGAGTGGAATCAACACCCTAGGAGAAAACATTGCTGATAACGGAGGAGTTAGACAAGCATATAGGGTAAGAAGCATCCATTTTTCTATTTTAGCTAAAACCATCATTCATTAAGAAAATGAATTTCAGAGTCTTTGAAGAAGAAACATTTTTTTTGTGTTAGGAATAGGACCAAGCTGTTGTATTTCATCCTATTAATTGTTTCAGGATAGATATTATTTACTGCTAGCACACTCTGCATCTTTTTCAACTTTTTTTTCTTCTGTGAATAGGGACTTTGTAGAATGAAACCATTCAATGAATCAGTGCCACTCTTGGACCATCACCTAGCTAAACTGATGATGTTGAGCAGCTCTGTCTGCCTTCACCAGCCTTTTCATGCCAGAAAGGAGGGCTAGAATTATTTCCTCCTAAGCTCTGTCCATAAACAGTCTCTGCCTATGTGTAACACTACTCCTTGCTCAAAATGTCATCTCATACAAGCGACTGGTGTCCCCTAAACAGATATCCAAAGATGTCAGCGACATCTGGATTCCTTGCATTAAGCCTTCCATGGGGGACTTGTAAGCATTTTGGTTTTCCTTTCCTTTACTGGCCATTTTCTTTTTACTTATAAATCTGACAGTGCAGGCCGTCATAACATGGTCCTTCCACTCCTTCCCTGAACACCTTGTTCTGTAGCAAAATACTCCACACTTGACAGCTAGACTGCTATCATTCCTCATGCAGTGCCTGCTGGGATGCATGAGCCAACTCACACATCACAGCTTCTGCAAACAAGGCCATCAGCAACACTTACACCGCTAGAAATACAAACGTTTGAGGGTAAATACATAAATACAATCATAAAGGAGAGTTTAAAGAATGACTTGGAAGACTAAAAGAGGCATCGGTATGGCATACTACATCAGTCTTATCTTGAACTATCAGAACATTTGTGCATTAAAAATCAAACAAAAAAGCAGAGCAGTACGGACCCATGAAAGGCCATTCTCTTTCTGAAAGGAATGGGCGTAGGCAGAGAAAAAGTAAAAAGTCAGAAGTATTTAAAAAATAGAATTGGCTAACCATACTTATTATGACATCATATAAATAGTAGAAAAAAAGACAAGAAGGAACCTTGAGAGCTCCCCCAGTCCCCCCTCCCAGCAGGCACAACCAACATTTCCAAGAGCCAAACCTGCAGTAAGGGAGGTTCCTCCACCTCCATACTGCAGTGTGAGTGCTGTCACATCTCTATTTCCAACAGTGGGAACACAGAGCCATCGATTCCTTCCTTTCCTGCAACCTTTGACATACTTGAAGGCTATTACATACTCGAAGGCCCAGACTTCTCCTCTTTAGACTAAACAAACCCCGTTCTTTCAATCTTTCCTCATAGGTCATGTTTGTTAGACCTCTGCTCATTCTTGCTGCTTTCTTCTGGACTCTCTCCAGTTGGTCCACATCTTAGTTTAAGTGCAGTGCCCAAAACTGGACAGAGTGCTCCAGCTGAGACCTGGCCAGTGCCAAGTACAGGGGAAGGATTACTTCATGTGACTTGTATAAGACATTCCTGTTTATACATCCCAGTATGACATTTGCCTTTTTTTGCAGTATCATGGCACCGTTGGCTCTTGTTCAGCTTATGATTGACTAAAATTACAGGAGCCTTGTCACTAGACCTGTTAACCACTCGTTCTTCAATTTGCACTTGTGCAATTGGCTTTCCTCTTGCTGTAGTTTGGCACAGTCTTCAGTCAGAACATTTCTCCAGTTTGCCAGCATCTTTCTATAAGTAGCAACATGCTAACAATTTACTGTTTGACATGTGGTCTTCATGAGAAACATGAATGCTGCTTTTATTACTATGGAAAGTTTTAAAGTCTTCTGCATTTGTTAGAAAAAAAATACATTTATTCCTAGTCCATTAAAAAATCAAAAATAGCTAAAAATGAAAAAAATATTTTTTATAATATAGCATTATTAATTGATACGATTGATTTAATAGTTGATAAAACTGATCTTCTCCCTGCACAATCAGTTTTATGCTAGCAAAATGGGATCCTGGAGCTCTGCACTGTATACAGGAAAGCCTATCTTACTGTAGGTGTATTATTTCAGATTCTAACCCTATAATTAGCAAAATAAGATGATATTCATTTTTTTGATAAACATTTGAGAGGAAAGTAAACTGTGACCAGCACACATGTTCTGTAGAATCAAGAGTTTTTTGGTTTTGTTTCCACTTTTGAAGCATCTTACCACACTTTTTTAACTTATTGGAGAAGAAAAGGAACAAGAATAACTCATAAGAGAAAGAACGAGGGTAGGAGGGAAAGATGAGTAAGAGGAGGGGGAATGAATGCTCTGATCACATCTTCATTGTCTTGGAGATAATTTTTGCCAGAGGCAGGCAGGGACACCTGGCCCAGACACTGGGTTGGGGATCCCTGTGATGGGAGCACAGGGATAAAGGTTGCATGTGATAAGATGGATGGCCAAGGTAGTTGATGATAAATTATGTCAAAGACTCCATGATGTTCCTCCTTGTCATCATTCCATTTTGACTGTATGGACTAGAAGTTGTAACATTGCTACACGATTCATCTTACAGGCCTATGAAAATTATGTGAAAAAGAATGGGAAAGAGAAGCTTCTTCCTGGTCTTGACATGAACCATCAGCAGTTGTTTTTTCTGAATTTTGCACAGGTATTTCATACTGCCTTTGTTTGATGCTTACTGTATCTTTTTTTTTTTTTTTTTCTTTTTTTTAAAAAAAAGTACTTTTGGTATGTTCTAAAATGAAATTTAATCTCAAGATATTAAGTATTTCATAGTGAAATGACAGCAGGACTCATCCTGGACAATCTTATTGCTAACAAATGCTTTTTTTTTTTTGTTACGTGTGTAGGTATGGTGTGGAACATACAGACCAGAATATGCTGTCAACTCCATCAAAACTGACGTGCACAGCCCAGGCAAATTCAGGTCAGCATGTATAACAATCCTCAGTGTAATTCCCTAGGTGCAACACAGCTTTTAGCTACTGAATTATAAAATCCAGCACAAAATGCTAGGTTTCATTTACCAGGGTTGATTTAGGCATATAGAAAGCTACACAAAATCACCACTTGTTTTCTCTTGCGAGAGTAACAGAAGTGAGGTTTTGGTGGAAGATTACTTACAAACCCGTATGTGTTGGTACAATAAGCAAATGTGTGTTTTCTGCCTCATATTGTCAGTTATCCTTCCCAAGAATAGGTGAGCTTGAATTCAAGAGGGACATACCGTAAACTTGGCTGTTCGGTGTGAATTATTAGGACCAGACTAGGATCTTTTCATTTTAAGTCAGAACAACCTGTTCTTTAGTGGTATAGCTGTTTGCTTTGAATCACCTCCAGGACTCCCATGCGCAATAACTGATTTTGCATGATATAATTCAAAGCATTAATTCCAGCATCTTTCTTTCAATGGCTTTTCACCAAAGAACTCTCTCGCTTATCCCACATGCTTAAATATTTGGTGAAAGCAGTGACTGTTCCTACAGTTGCTCCTTGACTGGCATTTCACTGTGGGTGGTTTTTATACCATACGCAGACCTCTCCTAGAGGCAGTTTGTGCACAAGTCCTACAAGCCGCTGAGTTCAGCTACGGCACTCATGAGGCTCTACCACAGTTCTGCAGAACTTTGCCTCTTCCTTCCATACCTAATTTCTATGAAGCACGAGTCCCCTGAAGTTTACCAGTTCAGCATCTTCACATAATTGTATTTGTGTATATTTTGGGCACATTACATCATGCTTGTGCTGTTTTACATCAGGATGAAAGGCTATAAAATTTATATCCAATTACACAAATATTAATGAGGAACTATACTAACATAGAACATGAGGCAATTTTCAGGATGAGGCCTACCTAAGAGATCTGAAGTAGAAAGCATTTCAGTACACTTTTTGTTTGTAACATATGCAAATAGACCCAAAATACTTCTTGTTCTGTTTCTGGTGAACTCGCACTCTAGCAGTTCTTGGCCACTAAACAGTGAAACCCTACTAAATCACTTAAATACATAGCCCAGAAAAATGGCGAAAAAATAGAAAGTTACCTCCTGCACTGCTGCTGAGACCAGCTGGGAAATATTTTCGCTTTTGATCTTGTGGAGCCTGTCAAATCGTTGCAGATGTCACCTGCTGAACTTCACCTCAATTTCTCCGGACACTTGCTGTTTCTGTTGAGTGTAATCATTATGATTATTCACAGAACAACCAAAAATTACTCACAGGAGCAGTCCCTCAAATAATTCCTGGTCCACAATCAATGTGCATCAGTATTTACGTTTGACATTTGCAGCTGAAGTTGTTTTCTAGCATAGACATGTGCATGCTATATTTCCATTCCTGAAGGAACGAGCAGCTCCTCTCAGTTACATTCACACATGTTCACAATTACAAATACAAAACCACTTTAGCTGCTACGTCCTCATACTCACTTGAGATCTGCTGTTTGTATGAGGTTTTTTTCCAGGAAACTTGTTCACTGGAACATTTGTGAAAACGCCCAGAGAAGCAATACGATATTAGTTAAAATCTGGTTGGTGTAAAAATGTAAATGAATATTCACTAAAAAATTATACCATATTCCTCCACCTCGGGGTCTTGTTTTCCCATTAGCGGGAAACTTATCAACAAAAGATAGCTATGAAAAAAATCTCAGTGAAAACAAACAACAGGCGGTAAAGCTGTTGGTATAGAAATAAATGGAAGTCTTTGTAGAGCCCATAATGAGGAAGGTCTGGTCCTATATTTCTGGGGATTGCAAAAGGGAATGTAAGACTGGAGGGAGAAGACACAGCCACCACTTTAGGTGAAAGGGAACCAACAGTCAGAGCTGAGAAATACATGCATTTCCCACAGTTTTTTGAAGTGATGGGGGAGAAACGTTATGAAATGTGGATATTTGGTTTGCTTGTTTGTTTTGCTTTTGCTTTTAAATGAAGGGAATTAAAAATGCCAAGATATATTGTTTTGTTTTAAAGGGTCATAGGATCATTGCAAAACTCTCAGGAGTTTTCTGAAGCCTTTTCATGTACCACGAAAAACTACATGGACCCTACTAAAAAATGCCGAGTTTGGTAACGGAGCTGCGAGCCTTGCATCTCAAGAAGCTTTCCAGAAGAAGAGAAATTTTGAACTACTTTTTAGAAGGAGAGGAGGGAAGAAAATTGTTGGATACCTTCTACAAAAGTCACTGTAATTCTTAGTAAACAGGCAAACATAAACAATCACATATCAAATCAATCTATTTCTCAAATGAAGGACTAATACCAATGCAGCAGTTAGCTGTTCTAGCTAACCAGCTGCTTTTCCTATCACTGAACCCTGCAGAATCTAAATCACTTGACAGCGTACAGTAACATTTCACTCATAGTTAATCCTGTTGCCCATGGGTCGCTGGCACTTTGGATTGTATTGGTTTTTTTGAAATGTCAAAGTACGAGGCATCATCTCCCACTGGTTGGTGAATGCATAGTTGCAATCAAGCAGAGGAAGAAAATATTAAGTAACGCATGGTTTTAGACATCATAACATGATAATGAGACAACAGTTGGTATCCTGTGTCAGACTTTGTACCCTCTGCTGTTAGGATAAATCTGTTCTACCAAATGCTTTCATTTCTACTTGAAACCATTTATAAAAGAGGAGTCCAAAGACCTGCTGGAATTAATTTCTCACTAATTATGCCAGTGTGTATTATTTGAACTCACTATTTACAACAGTTTATTTAGTACTTTCCAGCCAAACTGAAATTGTAGGTAATTTATTAATTTTTGAACATGTAATCTGTAAGATTGCGACTAAGACCCTTTCACGGTTTTCTAAGCTTTTTCTTGTTTTCTCTAAAGTTGGTCTTTTTAAAAGTTTCTAGCAATGTACAAACCATAGTTTTTATATTTAAATCTGAGCTACACTTCTGACTTGAAGTATTGTAATATATTTTATCAGCATCTGCATAGAACTGGGAAATTTGATTAAAGCATGGTGTTAGGCAACAGGACAGAGTCTACAAAACAGAGCTCTTCGATGGAGTACACCAGCAAGTGTACCATCAAGTACAGTTTTCAGGCTGACTTCCTCAGTATTTAGGGTTTTGATCCTGCACATAATCTGTATATGTTCTGATCAATGTCAGTCCTCACATAGTAAAGCTGCAGAGCTGCTTTCAAGAACGGAGCTTTAAATAAGAAGGTAACAGGCTTTAAATCTGCAGTGACACGTGTTGGACATCCTCATGCAGATTGCAAAGGAACTTACTGCTTTGTATACCAAAGCAAACAGATTTCCAAAAATAAGTAGCAGATACCTCAGATGACTGCTACAATAGGTACATTTGAAAACCTATGTTCCTTTTAGCTTTTTGGGTTTGTCATCTGATAAACACATTTTGATAATAAACTGAAATTATGAGCCAAATGCAATGCGTGTTCTTTATAGGAAGTATAGAAACACAAAAGCCGTATTGTCCCTATAAATGAACTTCTGTACCTGCCCCTGAGCACTGCACCCTCAACATCTATAAAAACTGACAAGGAGAATTCAAGTCACTTTGTTCTAGTTTCAAAACCAGATGTTAATAGGTTGTGTAGTAGCCAACGAAATCACACCAAAATCGACCACAATAAACTTTCTCTTACAAGAGACATTAACCTGATGGCGTTCAAATGAAATTCAATCTTTTACAAACCCAGGCCCACAAAGCTATGAAACAGGGAGCACTGTTAGCCCCGTTGTACAGCTAAGTACAGTACTACAGAAATTCTGAAAGTAACTAAATAAATAAGTGGATCATTACATACAGAATAAGTAATAATAAATGTAACTAAATAAATACAGACACTAATTAGTGAGCAGAATAGCAAATAAAAAAATCTCTTTATAGTAATATGAATAAATCACTACCAATAGATCAATTCTAATGTCTGTTCAGTAGTAGATCAGCAAGTTTTTTCTGATACACTTACTAGCTAATTTTTCATTTGCTTGCTGGACAAACAAAAAGCTGGAAAGCATATTTATTGTTGCTGGAGATAGGGATTCCTTCTTTTAATTTTCAGCAGCAGGCATAGTACCCAGGGAAGTTTTTTTTACTTCTGAACAACCCAGCTTTTACACTCATGAGTGACAGGATATTTTCCCTAAAGCCCCCATTTCATCACTATGTGTGCATGCCCATGGATCTAAATCACTTCCAGAAACACCACCTGAGACCCCCCCTTCCTTCCTCTATACAGCTGTGGTAGCCACAGGCCTTCAGCAATGAGTGCGGCTGCTGGCGCCTTGTTCCCCCATTGGAATAGGTGGGGAAATAAATGAAGGCTCGGCTCTACTCCTGGCTAAAGCAGCTGAACGAGAACTGTGCGGAGAGCTATGAGTACTGAAACAAGCCCTGGCAGGAAACAACTACACTGCAGGACCAGGGGAAAACAAAAGCGATTGTGCCTCTGCAGTACAGCCCTCAGCGCCTGCTGGCACCAGTCCTGGGGCTCGGCACATCACCCACCACCTCCCTTCAGTCCAGACTTCTCCAGTTCTTACCCTAAAGTCACCTGGCACAGCAGCCAAGTGCAGCAAAACCACACAGCAGCATTTAACAGGAAAATAAAATGTACCGGGCGTGTATTAGAAGCCAAACTCTACCTAGGGACAGTTATTTCCTCACACATGCAGAAGTGAAATGCAGGTCTTCATAAGAGAAACGTAGCACTAATCATTTAGATGCAAGCTGTCTGACATTAAGCAAGCAGTGACAACCAGAACATAACTTTCATCACAGCTTGCAAACTAATTAGTGCCAGGGAGCCTCTTCCTTCATAGAATGTTAATGTCAGGGAAGTATTTATAGATATGGCATGGAAACCATCACCCAAAGGCTTCAAAAACAACAAGGAACTTGTAGGATTGTTGCCAGCTTCTGCAGAAGCTTACAGTTAGTCTCTCTGGTTATAAATATGTCTTTGGACTGTTTTGGTTAATGTAACCTCCCACTGCAGCAGCCTGATGAAACTTCAGCTAATCCATGCAATGCAAACGCTGACATCGGTCAGCTCGTTACCAACGCATTAACGAACCAGGTACACACAACCCATAACCATCACTAAATAATTCAGCCAAGAAGCACAGACGCAGTGATTCCCCAACAAGCAGCTTCGCTTCCTCTGCCCAGGGAAGCTCGCTGAAGCTGCGTGCTGAAGCCAAGGGCAACCTGCTGCCAAGAGCCACTGAAGTCATGAAAAGGGGGGAGGGTTGGAAAAAGCCATCAGCTCTGCTTACAGGGAACTGGAGCTCAGGTGATGCCAAACAGCTCTTCAGACCTCAGTGGCATTATACCAATAACCAAAGCCCTGCCCAGTGTCGTAACAACACATCCCATGTACTGGTGCGGTGGTGGAGACACTGGAGCTATTGCCACACAACAACAGCACTACCTTAATTTTGGTAGAAATCCAAAGTGTATGTTTTCTTGAGAAATAATAATAGTGTTGTTTTGTTGTTTTTTTCTCTTCAGTGGAAGGGGATGCTTGTGATTTATGGGAAGAAAAAAAAAAAACCTGCAGAACTTATTTCCCAATCCACCCCTGCTAGTGTGGGAAGTTTCAGCAGTGCATTGTCCTGTTTCGTAATGAAAAGGCGCATGAGTGGGTTGTACTGCAGACAGATGCAAAAGGCCACTTTGCATAGTGGTCAGCGCGCTTTAAGCAGTGTGTAGGGTGCATATTTGCTCAGAATAATCCTCTTTTTATTAGTCTACACTAGTGGCAGGAGCTTCCTTTCCACTGAACAGCAGACAGCTCATGAGCCACCCTAGAAACATCTTTGTTTTGCCCTACCCTTGCCCTTTGAGCAGTGATTTCAATTCACCATCTTATGCCTTAGTCTGTAGGGCAAAAAAAAAAATAAATAGAATAATAAAAATAAATAATAATAAAAGCAAACACAGATACTGGGAACTAGCTAATGATCTGAAGAGAGTACGTATTTATTTGTCTTTTCCAAATGAGATCCTTCTGCTCTCACACATCACGTAAAGCAAAAATTTATGTTTTAGATCTGTACTTTTTAATTTGAAACATTTAATGTCAGATGTTGTTAGACACCTGAAAAAGCTGCTTGGGACATCTGGATCTTTCAGAACTGTGTATGTTCATCAGTGCCTGGTACATAAACGTGTTCATTCTGCTCCAGACTCGGGAAGAGGTGCGGTTTGCACGTCCCTGTCCTGGCAGTGGCTGTGGCCGGGCAGCTGGGGCCAGGCGAGTGGCACAGTGCAGCTGTGCAGGCTGGAGCTGGGATCAAAGCCACGAGGCAGCTGCAGGAGAGCTGCTGTCGGCTCTGTCACACCGCTGGCATGGTGCAGACCATACACAAGCTGACAAGCTGCTCTAAGAGCCTTGCTCCTTGCTTTGTCCACTCACAAAGGGAAGAACAAGCTCACAAGAAAAGAGATTGGAACTTGGTGTAATGGCCATCACCTAACTTCTCAGCACAAGGTTTTCTGGGCAAAACCACCATAAAATTAACCTACGTGTGCACCAACTTCTCTGTGTCTTCAAGGGGCCTCCCCGTTGTTTGGACAGTCAGAGCTAGTAGCAAGACTGGACAGTCTCAGTCTTAGAAAATGAGGCATTAGTCCCTAAAATGAGATAATGTATGCTCAAACTAGCCTCTTAGAGAGCTTAGAGCGGGTGGTGTCACACAGAAGCAGCTGCCACAGAGGTATGGACTCTGTAGCTCCCCAGGAGACCGCACGGTTCATCCCCTCAGGGCAGCTGAGGAAGACTTCTTGTGAAATGAGCTGATGTCAAAGGGGCAAGGTAGCTTGGCGTTACAATTCCCAAAACTAAATGTCACACATCAGTGCTTCAGCTAATAGCTGCTGGAGTTGCAAAGGAATTTTCATGGTTGCACCAACGCCGAATACATTTATTTTTCCCCCACTTCCCTAAAGGATAACAGACAGTGACCACAGATGGAGACAGGATGTCTGATTAATGTGCCTTCCTCCTCTTCTCAGAATTAATTCAGAGCGCCTGAGCAAGAGTCACAGGAGTTTCTTACCCAACCTCATCAAGGGGTCATTAAGGTTTTTTCCACATTTCCTTAAATGTACATCTTGTTAGAATCATGACAGAACAGAAAGAACAGAAATATTTTAGTATAAAAATCTTTGGGCTCAAAACTGAGCTGTGAAAATGCAGTAGTTGAGATTATCTGATCACTTCTGATTTTAAACAAACAGGTCACTGGACAGTCTCGAGGCACATTACATAGCAGGTAAATATAATTAACTCCAATTATAATAATAAAAAAAAAAGACAACCCCCTTGCACAAGATAAACAGGATGCCACTCTGAATCTGACCTACAATTCTAGGCACACTATGCTGTAGAACAGACTTCCCAACCTTAAAACATGCCTGATGTTTTCTTTTTGAAGGACATACATGTTTGTTTTATTACAATAGATCCCATGAAATTTTCCCCATAAGACTAAAAACACATCCTCAGGCCTCACAAGAAGATAACTCCTGCATGATTCTGAACAGTTTGAGGTTCCTTAGCTAGTAGCAGCTATTCTAAGTTTGATATTCATTGATGTTTTATGTAAAGCCAACTTTCTAAGGAAAGGCATTGCGTATTGCACCAAGGCTGATTAGGACAATGCTATCATACCTTCAGATGACTGCACTACATGTTGGTATGTCATGCAACGCCTCCTAGCATTTGCATGGTACAGCCTCCCTCACCTAAAGACCTGCGACCCTCCCAGCAGCTGCCCTAGTTTGATAGGTGAGAGTCTGAACTGCCTTGGTACTGCACAGAAGTGTGCTGACACCAAAACGCAAAACCTGGGAAATTCAGAAAATCAGCCCACCTTGGGATCAAACTAAAGAAAAGGTCCTCTCGTGTCTCTTCCTCCTCTTAGTGATGCAGGAAACATCTATGAGGCTTTAAAAACATAAAAAAATAAAGCATGAAATGTATGACTGAAGGCTTCTGTCCTTTCTGCTAGTCCACAGTGAGGTGGAGATCATTAAAGTGCGACACGTTCACGTGAACTTTAGAGCAACAAGACTGACCATGGAGCCCAACAGCACAGCTGGCTTTCATCACATACCTTGTGTGCATGGTCTGCAGCTCACCTCTCTGCTGTGCTACAGACTTCTCCCAACACTGCAACCAACATTAAAATGATGTTTTTCCTCATGTTGAAAGCAGCACTCGCCTGCTGCTACCACCAGGCAGTTCTGCTTCTTCTCTGCAAACAGCCTGCGGGTTGCCTGGGAGTACTTACAGCTGTGGCGAGTTGTGCACCTGATGGCAGATAGTCACCCTCAGGCACCAGGGCAGCACCGCCTGTCCTCCTGCTGCAGGCCCGAAGGATGTTTGTCCACCTGTTTTTGAAGGCCTCCAGTAATCAGCAACATTGATTATTATGCTTAAAAACTTCCAGCATGTCTGTGTCTTTACCATATAGACAGACTGTATCTCACCTGCTGGTCCTCCACTAATTCCTGCTGTGTGTCACCAAGAAAAGGTTATTCCCTTCATTTTTTATTAAGGTTTTGAAGATAATGTTTTATTAAGTTTTCTCTGGTTTAGGCTGAACCACTTCAGTGTGTTCATTTTGTCCCTGGTTACACGTTATAAATCCCAGTTCCCTGTTGCTGCCCTCCTCTGAATCCCTGTATTTGTCCTTTAAAACAGTTCCCGAAAGGTGTCAAAATTTAATTTTCACCTATTGCATTGCATTTTTTCCAGAGCAGTTCCTTAGTTTCATTCTGATTTCTAACACTGTTCCCCTATATCCCGTTTGCTGCCAGCAGAGGGGAGCTGCCGGCACACCACAAAATACAAGATAGGGCCCTGAATATCATTTATACAGAAAAGACCAGCAGTTAATTTGGATTAACTTCCAGGCAGGTATCTGACCTACCACTGGACTCCAAAAACCACTCACTCCATTACAAACCATTTGAAAATCAGGAAATTGGTTTAATGATTCTTCCTACATAGCATTTCACACCTTTGTTGCAGATAAAAAGTATACACCATATCTAGAGCTGATATTAAAAATAATTCATTTTATAGATATTTGTGTCATTCGGCATTCCAATTTACTTTCAGGTTCTTCCAGTCAACATCATTGGAAATTCTTCTGTCCTGTAAGACAAATAAAACTACTTTTATAAGGTAGCAGTGCACACCAAAGCAAGCAGGGGTGGATATGATACAGGTCACTTACTTCTGTCAGGAGAAGACGATGTAAACCATCAGGGCACAACCCACGATCCAGCCAACTGCAAGGAGAATAGGGACAACGAGACGGGAAAGTGGGACTGGGGCTGAAAGACAAAAGAGGATCTTTTTCAGAAAGGTCACATTACAAAACCGTAATTATCACAGAGCAAAAAAGATACCTGTGAGCTTGGGCCACATCTATGACTGCTATTTTTGGCACCGAGTCACCCTGCCTTGGCACACGTGCTACATATACACAGCAAAGCCCCAAGAAATTTCCACTCTCTGGGCTCTGCAATCAGATAGGCCAGAGGCTTAGCACTTCCAAAAGTACCAGGGTGCAGAGAGGAGACAGAAACGTGCTTCTGTCCTTGGGCTCCACAGGTCACCAGGAGAACATCTGGGCTGGACTGCCCTGACGGCAGCTCCCCCAGCAGATTCAGGCTCAACACCCTGACAGCACCTTCCAGAAGCAAGTCTCATGAGGCTGGCAACAGTAAATTAAACACGCAGTGATTAGTTAATACTGCACCTGTTTAATTTAAGATTGGTGTGCCTGGGGCCACAAAGAGGGGATGCATCCAAGGGATGTTTGCCAGGCTCTGTGCCTCAGGAGCTCACAGCTCATCTCAGTGCCTTTTGTGCACGGTGTCTGACTTAGCCCTCTCCTCTCCTCTTACTGTAGTGATACGTGGTAGTTACGGTTCATGCAATTATCCACTGAAAGGGTTTTACCCACATTAAAGGAAGAAAATAACACAAGTTTCCAATGTGGATGTCCCACCTGTGTGCCTGAGTCGGGCCGGACACAAAGGCGTGATGTCCTGCCTGTCCTGTCTGGTAGTACCAGGACAAGCTAATAAATAACGGAGACACAGAGGCAAGTGCTGGTGGTGGTTCTGCGAGAAGCATGCAGAAAGCAGGAAGAGGCCTTTAAATAAACAGGTGTCTGTACAGCACCAGAAGTTCACAGGCCCTTCCATCAGTTTGCTGCAACCAGCAGAAGGTTGCCAGAAAGCAGCACATCAGCCTTTGGGGTTGTGTTAGCTACCAGCATACTGCAGCACGTTAACGTACACCTTTCTGCAGTTAAAGGTGTTTTAAGGGGTTGACAAATTATCTAAAACTATTCACAACACTTTGCATAGTTTAGACATGCCGTGATAGTTTAGTTTCGACATGCCATGAGATTCTGTGGTGTATCTACGGAGAGGGAAAAAGAGCACATAGACAGATAATTGCACGTGCTGCCATTGAAATGTCCATAAGCAACCATGCAGCACAAGAATAAAACTCTGCTCTGAAATCAGGTGTCCTGCCACGGGGGAATCCCTTACCTGTTTTCTTTAAAGACTGTTTGACCTTTTGTAAGGGAAAGCTAGTTCTGCTGGGAATCACTTCTCTTTCCTTGCAACTTTTTCTAAAGGTCCTATTACCACTAAAGGGCTGGATCCTACTGGAGTACATGGAAGTATTTTGACAGAGCTCTGCTCGCTTGCCAAGGTGTCTGCTGAACATGGTGTTGTGTTATATGAGACGTGGTTTCAATGCAGGAAGGTGAGAGGAGCAAGCAGTCGCTGACGGGCCAGCAGGAATGCTGCGCCCAGCATTGGTCAGGAGGCAGCGAGCAGCTGGCTCTGAGGGATAGGGTTTCACGGGAGCCATTGGGAGTACTTGTGTTTCATGGTTTAAGAACAGAAATGAGCGTGAGATCATTTGCTGTGGGCTCCTGCACATCACGGGACAGATACCCTGAGCTAGAGTAAGGTGACTGCGAGGAAGACTGCATGTTATGCCACGAGCAGGAGAGGCTGCAGCATGACATACGGACACGGCATGGGGATGTCCCAGCAGGTAACCCATTTGCTAGGCCTCAGAAGAAGGTGACAAACTGCAAGGTTCCAATATTTGGTTCACGGGAAAATTATCCCAAGCATAAATCTGACAATCAGGTACCACCCTCGCCACGGAGCAGGGCTGCGCACACCAGCATTCAGAAGGAGCCTCAGCACAGCCCGGTTCTCAGGCTGAGGTGGTGATGAGGTGTGGAGGGACAGCAGCAGAGCAGGACGCTCCTAAGGAGCTGTGCTTTGGAAAGAAAGAAATTACCCTTTTACCGAAACCTGCAGGGAACCAGCCAAGATCCTAAAATGGGAGGTGTCATTACAATCACTGTTCTTATGGCTGCAAATGGGAGCAGAACAGCGAGGGAAATATGAGCTGCTGAGCAGCAGCCACGAGCATTGCCTCCAAACAGATGAAGGAAACCAAGCCCAGCTTCCCAGGTTTGAGCCAGAGCCCGCTGAAATCAAAAAGAACAATTCTGGGTGGCAGCAAGGATGAATAAAGGAATCTCACTGTGACCCCTGTACCTAAGTTGGCATTCTAAGAATTATTTTCTTTTTCCCCATTGCAGTAATTACAATAACTTCAGACATGAATTTATCTCAGAATAAACAGAGAGGAGCTGATCAGAGTGGCAAACACAGCACTTTTGCTCTGCTACAGGAGAGCTCCTCAGTCAAACAGACTGAGCCTGGAGCTGTCCACCACAGGATACCCAAGGAGCAGTGACACCGAGGAGTCCTCAACCACACGACACAGCAGCAGAGATTTCCAAGCTAGGTACTCCCTAAATATACTGAGAAATTTTATCTAGTCTCTATATTTTTTTTTCCTTTCATTCTTTTTTTTTTTTTTAAGACCTTTTATCCAGAACTATAAATTTGCTTGGTTTTACTGCCTGTACTTGGTCAACCAACTGCCATGAGCACATCAATGCCTGTGGTCTCACTGGGCTGCCTTCACCCCTGAAATGCCTGAGCCCAACAGTACTGACAAGGACGGGTAAAAGAATTACCCCAACACACTTGCAAAAAATTCCCACTTGATTTAAACACGTACAGGCCTGGCAGGTGAAGAGGTGAAGTTTTCCCCTGTGCAAGCTTGTCAAGCTCGAACCCACAGACTTATGCTCCCTGCTCCAAAATGCCTCAGGATTTTGCTGAAGTTTTCTTTGTGTTTCATCTCAGGAAGCGATACATGGCCAGACTACTGCCCCCTCACTGTGATGGCAGCTTGAGCTCCACGCTAGGCAGCAGAAACTTGGGAAGGAAGGTGTGAGCAACCCCTCAACTAAAAATTCCTTTTACAAGGAAGAGTACTGCCTGGATAGTTGTGTGCACAGCTGACGCCACATTTAAGCTTATAGTTCTTTTACGATCCAAACCTCTCATGGTGAAACAAATAGAAAGCAACAGTGACTACAAAATGCATTTTTATAAAATGCCTTTTCTCATCTTCGGTGGATTTGTGCTTATAGCAAATAATACATTATTAAAACTTCACTCTGCTCGGTCGCTTGGGCTTTGTGGGGTTAAAATTTAAACTAATGTGAGTTCACCTAGCATTACGCTCAGATTTCAGCTACACAGTACATTTAAATTACTGGCAAACATAACTCCTTTTGCATGGTTCAGTTTAATTATGTTCAACAACTTAAAATCGCTACTACAGAGGACTAAAGATGACAAAACTGGTAGAATTCAAAGATACAGGAGGAACCCAGGCTACTTTAAATTCACCGCTGCTAATGCAATTAGCTTTTAAACTCTTCCACTTTCTTACTAGAAAGTAGCATATGGTATATCAAACAAGACTTACAACCTTACAAATAACTGAGCATTTCCACTTTACATTGCTCAGAGTTATGATTTTTAAGAATATACTGTTACATTAATCACATTAACCTTTAATTGTGCATCTTACCTGGTTCTGCCATTCCTCCCTCTGCTGGTTTTATTGACAAGATTTAAGGTTTGCTTCTGCAGTTGTTCTTGTGAGCCTTGGGATGCTTTAAATAGAGCAATATTTGGAACGTGCTGCAGCTGCCTTGCTTGCTGATGCCAGTTTTTGGCTATATGCATTCAATTGTTTAAAAGGACAGGAGTTCAAGGTATTCAAGCTTACCTCTTCCTATTCCTGCAATTGCACATCTGTTTTTAAAGAAAGGTGAGCAAAAAGGGGTCGTTATTTGGTGCAGAAGAAAAATGAGGGTGAGGACAGCTTTATGGTCTCTTAACGACATGGTAAGTTTGTGTAATATTTATGTGCATCCACATACTTTGAACATGACAGGGATCCAGTTCATTTTTAATCTCCCATGTCTCCTCTCTTCCCCCTCCTATCAAAAACCAAAGCCAAATCCTAGTTGGTAATACTTGTATATGGAGTTCTCTTAATGTCATTAGTTATTTACTAAGCTTCACCAGTATCTCGTACTTCACAAAGCACACATGCACTTTTAGTGTCTTGCCTATGAAAGGTTACATTGTACAGCCACAGCTTTTCATTATTGCTATGAGTAGTAGCCAACAAAATTCAAGGAAGGCACATTCCTAAAACGATCTGAGAATGATTTTGTCTTAAGCAGAGTACAAGGAGGTTAATCAAAAATAATTATAAACTGCAGTCTCTAATTCAGAAAGAAAAAAAAAGAAAAAAAGAAAAAGGAAAAAAAAAAAATGAGTGCCAGATCTCTGCCAAAAGGACAAACTGCACATTAGCTTGTATCCATACAAGGAATGCTCCATATAAAGATCCCTTGGAGTGATCCTGGCCATGGTCTTTGACCAATAAGCATAAGTAATTCACTTAAAGCTTACCAGGAAAACAAAATCCTGTACAGAACATTCAGAGGAACATGCAGGTTGCATCACACATCAGTGAGGAGCCCCCAAGCAAACACTTTTGTTGAGGCATGGGAGGCCATTTTATCTAACTTTTAGTGAGTTTATGCATAATGCCACTTCAGAGGTATGCCTAGATACTAAATGAAACTGGGATGCTTCCTGTGTGCTTTAGAAGTGGAAAAGAAAAGAAATCATTGTTCAAAAGCCACTACATATTACAGGTGTTTTGAAGTGATCTCATCTGGATGTTTGCAGAGTTCAGTGGGACTCATCATGTTCTCCCAGGTGATGAGACAGGGCTCAGAAACACATAATATGGATCTTCTAAAAGACATTCCCGTCTCATGTGTTTGTTGATTAAAGATTAAGTACTTTACAGAAAAAAATAATAAATTTCAGCTATCACATTGCTTCAGAATTGACTCCTCTTTCAGTGGCTGTGGAGATCACATCTTCCTTAGAGCTACTGTATCGGGCTGCCTGCAAAAAGGGAATTAAACCAAAGTTAGAGTCTAGAGACCAAGGTGGACAAAATACAGCTCTTTAAGCCGTCACGATCTAACGTGTTCTAAAGCAGATCAGAATCCAAGTAATTATTTTTTAAGGGACTAGAGCTATATTAGAAATATATAACAGTTATATTAGAAATGCAGTCCCAGTCCCTCCCAACGGGGTGGCTGATCCTGACGACAGGAGCTGCTTTCCAGAGATTGCTTCTCGCTTCTGTGCCCGCACCCACAGCCCCTTGGCCACAGAGGCCGAGCAGAATGGTGCAGATGCACACCCAGTGCTACATCTACAAAACAGCTGGGGGAGACAACTTCCAAAATACCCTTAGGAAAGGTAATTAAATATCTGGTTATTTTTTCATGGAAGATGTTTTTTTGTCCTAGATGCAAGAATGGAAACTGTGGGCCCCAGGCTACACATGACTTGTATCCATCTGCAAAATATTTTCATTTGGAATGAACAACAACAACAGCAAAATGGATGGCAATGGATTATTTTAAATACAACAATTATTTGTAGTGCTGCGATCAGTGCCTTAGAGACCATGCTGACATACACAAAGTGGCTGAGCAACATTCAACTCTGGCACAACTTTACTGAAGACAGTTGTTTTATATCAATGATGAACTTAGCTTTGTATGGATTGGTTTTGTTGCTTACTATAAACAGTTCCCATGTTTTGGTCTTCTGAGTTTGGCAGGAGTTCTAAGAAGATTACAGAAAAATAAGTGAAGCCAAGTCACCTGAGAATTTTGCATGGATTTCTGCAATCAATACCTTGACCAACCCGCTCCTCAGTCAGTTTGTGCTCACTGGCTCTTAGGTTCTTGTGTTTCTGTTTGCATGATGACACACTGCCTGCTGAAACTTACCAAAAGGCTTCCACTGGTTTCTAGAGATCGGTTTGAGCAAATATTGTATGGACATAACAACTAAAATGGCAAGTTCTCTGAGTACTGAAGTTTTCTGGTACGGAATATGCCGAGTATGACTCCGCTGCTGGCTTTTGCCCTGCATTCTTCAGCAAGATGGTTCCCCTGAAAAGATGCTTTGCTCAAGCACAGCATAAGGAACTGATTTTGTCACTGTTGTCCAAAATGGGCATTCTCTTAAAATAAAACCTGGGGTTATATAACATTTTATTGTGCAATGCACAATACATAGATAGTATCATGTCATCTTGAGACACAGAATAAATAGCAAGCTTTGCACTCTTTGTTTAGCTTTGCTGAAGAACAATAGACTTTTGAGATAGAATCCGATTTGTTGTAAAAAGAAATATGAATCTGCTCCCCGTGTCATACGTTTAAGAAAAACATAAAACACAAAACTCTGATGCAATAACTTCATTTGCTGTATAGCTTTTCCTGTAAGAATCCTATCTGGTTTGGGTTCTGCTATTTATATACATATACATCTGATCTAATGGAAATAATTTCTACCATGAACCACGTACTCCTAACAAGACAATCTGACCTTCACAGATTGGGATCTTTCCAGGCTTAGTTGCCCTAAGCAAGGACAGAGCGTCATTGCTGTTCAAAACTGGTTTGATAACTACTACCCTCATTTAGCTGCAAGCACAGTAAGTGTACTCTGCAAATCTAAAGCATGAGGCTAGGAATATAAAAGTTGAAACTTAAAAAAATGTAGTACAACAATATAGACATTATTTTAAACATCACATCTTCGGTTTGGAATAGAGGAATGAACTGCAGACATAACATAGATTCAGTCCAACAGCCAAAAAAGCAGGGTGCCAGTTCCAAAATCTAAGAATCCAGGAGAGTACACAGTGTTTGAGAAAAAATGCAAGAGGATGATCTGTGGCAAATAAGCAGCTACTTTTTTTACCAGCTGAAGAACAATACACAAGAAAATCAATTTCCTCGTTTTGATTTGTGTTTCAAATTACATTATAATTCGCACGTGTTTTTTTCCCTTCTGTGTTTGTGCTGGAATGCTAAAATACTCACTACTCATTGTTAGACTCAGATGGTTAACTCTGGTCAGCTGTGAGATCCCATTTTTTTTGCTGAGGTACTCAGTAGATTAGTCTCACTTAAAGCAGTATTTTGAGTGATCTTTTTGACTTCGGTGCCATTAACTGCTCAAAGCTAGGAATGCACTTTAAATACTTTAAATGCCTTTAGTGCTTCAAGTGAACTAGGGCCAAAATTCAGAGGAGGAACCCAGTCAGCCAGCGGAGCTATAAGTTGTTCCTGAAGAGAAAGCCAGTTTAAGGGGAAAAGCAGTACCTGATGTTTTAGAAAATATTAAGTTCTTGTCTTTGGATACATGTGGGTTTTGCCAAAAGGAAAAAATAATTTTTAAAAAAATAATCAAAAAGGGGAGAGGCTGCAGTTGGAGTCACTGGCTGCCAGGCTGTAATGAATGCAGTTGTTCACAAACTCATCTGCTTCCCAGCAGAGCTGCCCATGCCACTGGCTGTGGGGAGCAGCCAGAGCCCTGGGCCGGCTGCTCAGCTGCTGTCCTTGTGCCAAAGCGTTGGTGAGGGCTGTGAAGGCACAACGTCCCCAGCTGCGTGCCAGCCTGGCGCTACCAAGTGCCTTACTCTGCTGATCCCTATCTTCTGGCTATTCCTGCAGTGAGCCGACACCCTTTGAAGGGCTGACGGCAGCAGCATCTGAGTGATTTAACTGCTTCTGCCCCAAAACTGTTGGGGAAGGTCTCGGGAGCCACTGGTGCTGCTGGTGCCAGGCCATGCACCACCCGCAGCATGCAGAGGACCTGAATGGTGGTCAGAGAAAGTGAGCGGGCACGGGGCAACAAGGGCCTGCAGCTGACCCAGAAGGAACAGTGAGAAGAATCAAGCCAACGTTAGCAGATGTATCTGTATGGCTCTTTAACCAGTAGACAGGGGCCACAAGGCCTACAGACAGAGTGCCACACCATGCAGCGGGCAGTTAGCTTTGCTTTAACAGCGGGCACAGTCCAAACGCCAGAGACAGCATCTCCCAAGCCAGCCGCCTTGTTTTCACAGAGCCCAGGGCAAACATCTCCCCTTCGGGCCCCCTCTCCCTGCCCTGGTGCTGCTCCCCACAACGTGTTAGGGAAAGATTGAGCTACGAACAATCACGCATCACCTCAGTAGGAGGCAAACCCTTCCCCTTTTGTACCACGGAGTATTGCTCCACAGCACAGCCCCCCCCCGAGGAATGCCAGGAATACAATAGAGAAAGCAAACAGAGGCTGCTTGGGAACAGCAGCACAGATGCATTAGCTTGTGTTACTTCTGGTGGATTCGGGTGATTTAGTGTCTGACGTTTGAGAAGCAACAGCCAGAACACCTCATTAAAATACTGGCTGCTTTGCAAAAAAGAATTGGCAATATTTTTCCTTTAAACAACTAATACGCTTAGAGCACACTCTGATCTTTGTAATTTTATCAGGCAGCTGGATATCAAGTATGAGAATGCCAAATTTAAGCTTTTGTAGCCTTCTAACACCTAAAAGTCTACATGCAGCATTCAGTAGGCTGGCAAAGAAACATAGTTTTGCAAATCCTATACAATTTGTATAAATACCTCTAGGTCCACTGCTTTGTGTTAGAGTAGAGGGACACATCAACTCATCTTCACAAACAGAATGACCCAAGGAATAAATCTTTAAAACTTTGTAATATTGGCACTAGTTTTTTAAAAGTCTTTTTTCTTTTAATTTTTCCTTAAAAAATGGTTTACTACATGTATCAAAGGCTACATTTATATACCTTGATGTGTATTATTACTTTGCCATACTCTCCTGTGACCTGCAGACTAGCATGTGAGAATATCAGATCACTGCATTCACAAAATAGATGTGCATATGGGAGATCTGTCCGGTGAGAGACATTTTCTTCTTAGTCACACCCATCTCAACATTTGAAAACTCCCTTAAAATTGCTAGATTACTTCCACTCATATCTACAGCAACAGAATAACAACAGAGCATTGACTTATTTGATAACTGAGTGACTGAGACCTGAAAAAAATCAATTTTTAATAAATGGAAGCTTAATGCTTTAAGTATTTAATTCCACACACCACTTCCTATGGCTCAGGGTACACACCCGAGGCAGGACACTTCAGCTGGATGCTGAGATACCTGATGAAGACAAGCTACAAGCATCATTGGAAGTATTCTGGCTTAGAGAAGCTGCAGTATCAGTGGAGACATTTACACGTGCAGTATCATTTCTGGATTAGCTCCCCACTGGTCTCTAAAAACAATGGCTGATAACGATTTTGGTTTGCCTTTGCATTGCTTCGCTTCAGTGGCTGCAGAACAATTGGTAAATACCTTTCTCACCAGCACTGGGGTAGTTGCTGTGAATAAATCTGCCCGACACATTAGTTATGAACAATGGCCTCAGCTGGATGTCTTAAAGCCGAGCCTCAGACAAGAGGCAAGCTGACCCCCAAACCAATGCGTGGCTGCCCCTGCCAGGTTTCAGTGTTGGCAGGGAGCAGCCGAGGCCTCAGAGCAAGACCCCAAACGCCTCATGGGGACTGTTCGGCGCCCAGGGCAGCCCCGCGCAGGGTCCCTGACAGGACACGTTTCAGGTAGTCCGTGTAAAACTTCCCTGGATTTCCTCCCCTCTGATGATTACCACTTAGGAAGGAAAACCAATCCAGTCATGCACCACAAATCCCTCTGGGAAACGTCAGCTTTCTAGAGCACGCATGTTAAGATTTATACAAGTGTCGCCTGCTGGTGTGGCTTTTACAGTGACAACTGAAGGAAGAATTGGCATTTTCCTCATAACCTAAAGGCACTTAATGTGTCACTCGAATTTGCATTGAATCAAAACTTCTTGACCAAGCTGCTAAGCCCGAGTTAAAAATTCCAGCTTTGCCACGCTGCATTTTCCATGCAATTTTTCTGCTATCAGAGAAGCCAGGAAGCCAGTCCCATGTCCGTCCTGCTGCTCTGGCCAGGAGGAGCAGTGCACCCCGTGGGCAGCAGCCAGCCGGAGGAGCGGCGGGTGCCGTGCTCGGCCCTCACCGGGTGCCAGGCCTGTAGCTGCCAGGCCCTGCTGCCCCGTCCTGCTGGAAGAAAGCAGAGAGGAGCCACAGGGCCACAACAGCAAACCCCAAACCCCAAACCCCAAATCCCAAACCCCACGCTGATCTGCAGGACTGTGGCCATGGCCTGTCAGGCAGACCCGGCTGGTTCCTGCTCTCCGGGCCCACTGGGCATGCTGCCCTCCTTCCCCGGTTCGTGAAGGGACTGCTCCTTTGGGTAAACTAACGTTTTGTGCTCAGGGTAGGTTTTTAACCTTTCCAGCTGTGAAACTCAAGTGGCGAGCAGAAGCTTCCCTCAGGTGATGGATGGGGTGGGGAGGAGGCCAGGAGCCACGGGGGAGGCTCCGACACGAGGCGCTGCAGCAGCCCCATAGCTGCAGCCCCAGATCTGGTGCTCGTTTGTCTCAAGGCTTGGGTTTCACCGTGATGCCTTGGCAGAGGCCAAAGAGGAGGAATCCGCTGAATATTCAGTGACATTCTTGGCCGTTCCCTTGTTCTAACTCCTTAAACAATAACTGAATTGCTCAGCCGTGATGCATATTCCAGTTCTTGGTTCAGCTCTGAATTTCCTACCGGACTGAAGATAGAGCATTCAGAAACAAATGCGGGCTTGTATGAGTCCAGCTCATGTGCTAAGCAAAGTTGCACAAAGGCTGAAAACATTTTGATTTGATCTTATTGTGCCCTTTGAAAGAACACTGGATCACGCCAGCAAGGAATATAATGGGGGAAAAAAAAAAAAAAAAAAAAAAAAAAGCCAAAAGGAAAAGAATATATTCATTGACAGATTGTGAAAAGCTTGCTAAAAAGCTGCATTTAACTAATATTTAAATAATTAATTTCTTGATTTGGACATTTCAATTAACCATAAAACCTGGTTAAAGACAGAGCAAGATTATTTCAATGTCCTCTTTTGAATAAAATGAAGGATTTCTTCAGAAGCTTTTATTCAATATTTTCCCATGTATTAAAAAGCTTCAGTGTAATCAAATATAAGCCAGACATGGCATTTGTGCCCTAAGGTCACAGGCACCCTACAGTGCTCCTTTCCCAGCAGAAATCCATATCCTGCTCTTATCCCTACAGATGAGGATTCTCTTTTCCTAAAAACGGAAAAAAAAGCAAGCCTGAACAAGGGTAGCAGTTAGTGAATGGGGACAAAATTTGAGGCAAGAAAAAACAACTTCTGATAAAACCAAAATACCCTAAGGTCAGCAGGGAGACAGTGAACTGTACCAGCTGCAAGGAAGCAGCACTTACATGAGTAGCTTACATGGAAGTTGCCATTTCCAAGTGTGAGCTGAATCTGCCTGATGTTGGGGTGAGACTTGGCGCTGTCCTCCCGTAGGCACGGGTTTAGCGTTCTGTAGCACGTTGTGGACAGCTAGCCAAAACACATTTTCTCTCTTGCTTGACTTGTGTGCACATTTGTCTGGATTTTATACCCTTGTGGAAACAAGCACCTCTTTTCATGGTCCATCTACCTGTAGGAGAACAGGAGACAGATCTTTGTTCCCTCCCTTCTCTGTAAATTATATTTTCCTGTCTAAGTGAATTCTCTCTGCAGGGGAAAATTTATGGCTTTAAAATTACCAGAACAAATCACTTAATAATTCAAAACAGCTTTGCAAGCCTCGAAAAGCCAGTAGAAAATTCCCAAGTTTCATCCAACCAGAAATAAATTTGTCAAAAAAATATTCAGCAATTGCTACTTTCATGGACAGACTAAAAATAATAATGATAATAATCTTATTTGCAAGAACAGAACTAAATTTGCTAGACAGGCAAACACCAAGTCCTTAGAGGAACCATAAGTTGCAGAGCAGCAGGTCCCATGCTGGTGCTGCAGTACCCTCCTGTGGCAGACGGTGCAACTTCAGGTTTTCAGGGAGCTCGGGCTCTGCTCTGTTGGATCACTGGGCTGAGACCCTGGGGTTAAGTGCACACAGAAAAGGTGGTGGGCTTCTTTTTTCTTTTTCTTTTTCTTTTTCTTTTTCTTTTTCTTTTTCTTTTTCTTTTTCTTTTTCTTTTTCTTTTTCTTTTTCTTTTTCTTTTTCTTTTTCTTTTTCTTTTTCTTTTCCTTTTCCTTTTCCTTTTCCTTTTCCTTTTCCTTTTTTTTTTTCTCTTTTTTCTTTTTTTTTTTCTTTTTCTTAAATGAAATACTCTGCACTTAAGCTTCTCTCAGGAAAGATGTACTTACAGTTTCAGGCTTTGAGAAGGACGAGGAGTGTTTCCCCCCCCTGCGGTGTCT